CTCTATTTTCTCTTCACTAAAAAAATCATAATGGTGTGGAGAGGATGGCTATAAGGGGAGAAGGGAGGCCATCCAAAGGAAAAAAAAAGAAAATGTAGAGACTAAATTAACCAACAGTTCTTGTAAAAGGGAATATAATTAGGAATATATAGATGCCAGTGGTGCAGGTGGTAAGTATTCACCTTGCAACCAGAGCCTTTCTGCTTTTAATCCATGCCCGAGCATATGTTGTAGTGTCTCTGGSCAATACACATCTGTTGGTGTGATTGTGATGTTCTGGAAGGGCAGTAGATAAAGAATGGCAGCTACATTTCCACCACTAAGTGTGACTGAGAATTGAAGCAATAATGCAAGACATGTAAAACACCTTTGTTCATTTAGAAAGCATTATATAAGATTGATGCCTTTTTCCCCCAAATATTTGACAACACTCAAGTAAAATACATTGTTAAGAAACTTCTTAATTTTAAGTACTTTTAGTATTTAGGTGTTTTGAAAGCACATACTCCAGTACTTTAACTTTTTAAGCAATATTTTGACAGAGCTACTTTTACTTTTGACTAATATTAGACCAGTAGGATCAGTACTTTGAGTCAAGCAAGAAAACTGTCCACAGATCATAGAGAAGGTAGGGTCCTCCTCAGCCATTGGGAAGAAGACCTCATAGAACTGAATACMTTTCTCATGTTTAGAAATCCAAATTGTTGTCTCCTTTTCTGTTTTAGAATATTGTTTTGACTTGTGTTCAATCAAATAAACTAGTCCTCTCCCCCAACAGTTTATCAAAAACAAGGGCAGCTATGTGGGTTCCTTTTGTTTTCGAACAGCCTTCAACTCTACTAGCAACTTCAGATGCTTTCACCTGAGGTCAACAGTTCATCCATCCATCACCTTTACCCGCTTTTTAAAACAAAATGTGTAATGTAGGAAAATACAAACCTAAACAAAGGTAATGCAGTGTGTAGGGAAAAGTGAGCTTAAGGTGAATTAAGCTTCTCCCACATCTCTCATACACAAGGTTATGAGGAAACTTTTACCAAGGTTTTTCTCATTAGTTGTTAATATCGTGACTGTGCAAAGTGAAAAGTGACACAATAAGTGAACGCTCAGACAAGTTCAAGTTGATTCATTAAGACTATGCAATCATTTGTTTACACAAATTGAACAGATCATAAGTTACACTTGATTGTGGTTATTCCTATAACACGCGTCAGAGTTAAATKAGATAAAACCTGCATCTGAATTTCAATTCACTTCAACTCAGATTACTTATATACAACAATAAAACTTTAGCTTAAGTTTTGGCAAATCAAAGAAATAAGAAAGAGGAGAAAAGTAATGTTAGTGTTCTACTACATTTACTTTATCAAAGTGTGAGTCAACCGGAACTGCACGTCTTTTTCTCGACTCAGGTCCACAATACACGTCACTCCGAACACATCAGCTTTTACCTGATGAAGGCTTCTTAAGACATCCTCGAAGTAGAAAAAACCGGCTCGCCTCTGATCAGTCAGAGAACTGTTGTCGGCTCGCTTACCGGTCATTGGCGAACAGGTGTTATTTTCTGGTAACTTTGTGTTTGCTTCAGTCCAAGCCAGAAAAATTCAAGCTGTATCTAGTTCCTCCTTCAAAATAAAACCTCCCCTCGGGAGTTAAAACACAGAGGCTTGGAGCCTCGAATTGGAACCACCGACAGGCGTGCTGGGTCCCTGGCTGTGAAATCCTCCCTAATTAGCTCATGGGATCAGATTTTCAAACAAAGCTGAGGTTTCTCCGGAGAGAATCACAGCTGTCTTCCTAGGTTGGAATCAGGAAGAAGAGTGTGTTGCTCAAAGCCGTTCGGGTTAGTAAAAGAACGAACAACTTTGGTTCCGCCCTCAGGCTTAGAGATGAGTCAGAGTAGAAAGATAAAGATATGCCAGGCCGGCGCCATCCAAGTTTAAATTTCTGTGGTTGTTCAACAACTTCATGATAACCTATTTAGCTTACTTCTGATAGACTCTAAGAAAAATCACTGCAAAACATTTATGATTATTAATTAACATTTCTGTTTRTAATCATTTCTGAACCATTCTGTTAGTCCAGAAAAATGAAAGATTTCCTCAGGAAAAATCCACATTTATATTACTGTGTTCACAGTAAAATAAAAACAGTGATTTACAWAMAAACAYAATGAAAACATTGTAATCAGATTCTCTGTGATTTTTTATGCCATTATAAATCTTTAAGACACGATAAAAGAAAAGAAGT